TACTACTAACACTACTACTAACACTGCCGCTACCACTACCACTACCACTACCACTACGACTACGACTACTAGTACTACTAGTACTACTAGTACTACTAGTACTACCAGTACTACTACTACTACTACTACTACTACTACTGCTACTACTACTACTACTACTGCTACTGCTACTGCTGCTACTACTTCTACTACTACTGCTACCACTACCACTACGACCACTACTACTACTACTACTACTACTACTACTACTGCTACTACTACTGCTACTACTACAACTACTACAACTACTACTACTAGACTACGACTACTACGACTACTACTACTACTACTACTACTACTACTCTCACCACTACTACTAAGAAAGGCACCGACCAAAAGGCTTGGCTAGCTCCATCGCCAAGCCCACTCAAAGCCCGGAACGCAGGGATCATCCAGCGCTTGTACCTGTCCACCGGCATCGTTTGAACCGGAGGTCGTAAGACGAGATCGGCCAACATCGTCGCAACCTGACTCGACCCCATCATGCCCGAGAAAAGAACACGGCAGCAAGCAAGATTGCTAGAGAGAAAGAGAAAGACGAAGGAAACAGAGAACGAGAAAGAGAACGATAAAGAGAAAGAGAAGCATGAAGAGAAATGGGTCGGCGAGCTGCCTCCAGGCAACGTGGAACAACTTGATCCACGGCGGCTGCGAGACTAAAGGAGTCTTCCACAACAACGTCGGGTTGCACAGCTCCTGCGACAAGCGCTTGGACTCGTGACATTTATGCCTGGCTCCAGGTCTTCCCGGCTAGTGCGCACGTGACGTACGAGACCCACGACATGCGTGGAAATCCAGCAAATCGAACTCTGAGGCGCAAGGCGCATGGAATCACTAGGGGTTGCTACCCCTGAGAGCAAAGTTCTGGCTTCCCCTGACGAGATTTGGGAGCTGCAAATCCTGCATCTCTTTGATATCGATGTTTTTCCCGGCTCATGGTGTGCCCAAGGCATTGAGACCATCTACTCTGCTCTTTTCAGAGTGCCGTTTTGATCCAGCTTTGGCAGAAGGGCTTGCTAGGGTGTCGAAGAATGTTTCCGCAAAATGCTAAAGCGGATCCTCGGCCGATGTAGCAGCGACACTTTCCCATTACTTGCAAGGACTGCAAAGCCCCTCCGGCCTCGCTTCGGGTCGGAATGCTTTGCAGATTAGGACTTAGGATTTAGAGTTAGCAAAGCATGTGAGTTGCGAATCTGAGGTATTCTGTTATCAGGAAGAACAGCACGATTTTTACATCGTGGAAGGGGTTACCCGTTGCTGGTTTGGCTCAGAAAGCTAAGCATACGGATACGACATGGAGCATTAGTAGATCTCGTGCTTGCCACACAGTTCTGCCGGTGCCTCGGTCTTTGTCCCTTCCTCGCCGTCCCCGCTACACACAGCAACAACTCGCAGAATGCCGTATCAACGGCCTTAGTTTCTTTCTATGTCAATTGACAATGCTTCGTGTTGTCGCCCCTCGGTTGGGTTGGGAGCCCATCTGGAGGGGAGGAAGGCGGTCCGCTGGGGAGGGGATGTAAAGGTGGCGAAGCGAGGGTCCCTGTAGGTCTGACCGTGTCCGCCAAGCCGAGGCGAAGGCGGACCAGTAGAACAATTAAATCAACGTCCAGGGTTCAGGGATGCGAAAGTCGCGATAAGTGCAGACATCCGGTCATGCCCGGTCGCCTCTGGCCATGCCATTCAGAATACATTCAAAACATTAACAAGGTTTCACCAGGATAAGAAGACGTTCTGTGGTCGTGTTAGAAAGACAGAGCTGCATGTCCAACTTTTGGTTGGAGCTGGACGAATCGTCAGGTGAAGCCATGGCGGGAATGGGCAGGTCGGGTTCAGCTGCCCACCTTTGCAGGCTAGCAAAGCGACACATGTGCAGAGGTCGGCCAGTGCTGGCGCGCTTGTCAGTGCTGGCTGCCGACTTGGCCATGTGCCCACTGGCCAAAAATGAGCATCCTGCAATTTGTGCCCAGGGGCCACAATGTCCCACGTGCCGAAGCGTGCTACCCAACACGCCTGCTACCTTGCATCTTGGGAGGCCATCACCTTGTGCATGCGCTATCGTGCAGTGTGCATCAGTGTACTGTGCAGATGCCCCGTCCGACCCTCAAGCCCGGGCAAGTGTCGTCTTCGGCCTAGCTCAACGCGCAACTGTTCATCTAGTCACCTAGCCAGAGGACCCTGCTGCCTGAGGGCCTCGAGAGCGGTCTACTCCGAGGAAGCGCCAGCTCCAAAGACAACGTGCGACCGACTAGAGTCAATCGCCGCCGGCGTATATGCCAACTTCCTAAGTTACGAGACTCTTGAGGCTTGTAAGATTGCAATCCAGGACGGAATTGGCTGGAAGAGCTCGTTCCACTCTTGGCCTGGATAGGTAGACCTAAACCTTGTACCGAACATTCTGGAGACTTCATAAAACACCCTGAGTCTCAGCTCGTGGCGAGCAGCCTGTTCCATCCAGGTACCTGAGCGATGGTCTTCCACCAGAGTCTATGTATCAGAAGTACGGAACTTGAAAATCTGAGTTTGACACCTTTCGGTGTACTGGGTCACGGCCAGGACAACGTCGCAGCTTACATCTCCAGAGCACTACCAGGTGACACCTTGTAACTGCTGTTTTGTGATCGCTCTGGCATCCTTCCCTGTCAGAATCCTGTCCAACCCATTCGGCAGCAAGAGCCCCCGGCGAGTTCAGTTGGGCACAGGCACCCTGTGTTGCATGAGAATCCGCTCAGAACCGACAGTGTCTGTTCAGACTATGGCAGGGGGGCTGCTCATTGGTCCTCCACGTATAGAACTTCTCACGACGACAACTCTGTGGCTGGTGCTGTCTATCACAGACAGCATGGGCCATCATACCAGGCCTAAGGGGCCGAGTCTGAGAGCGCGTGCTTCTCGGAAAGACCGTGGCCTCGAGGCAGCAAATCCACCGACCTGCATTGGAGGGGGGGGAATGATGAGTGGCACGCTCAGAGACGGGCCATGGGCTGCCCTTCCTGGCTTCGTCCACTTTCAGGTGCATTCATGGAGGATTTCGGCCTGTACGGCTCGGATCCTCGAAGTAAAGTTGATCCAGCGCTGGACAGTCATCGTTAGGCTACAGATGTCTACGCTGCAAAGTTAGTGATGCAGAAGGCCACTACCGCTCGCAGGACAGAATTCCAGTTGCAAAAACAGCCCTGACGATGGGAACTCCCAAGGCACCGTGATGCCAGTTTTATGTCTGGCGCGAACTGCATCCCATGTCAGGGAACGCTTCATATCCCTGGGTACCACGGCTTCTTGCCGACGAACATCAGGCTTGCAAGACAAATTCTACGTGAGACATGCCGTTAGAGACTGAGCTTACGCCCTCCCTGCGAGGAATCCCTATGCAGCTCGCGTGGAAAGCGGCGCCACAATCAGAACCAGCGACAAGTCCAACATTACTCAGCAGTCGGCACCCAACAGTGACATGACTTGTGACATGCTGTTCGACACATGCCAAGATGAGGTTTCATGTCAACACTCTCCACTATGCGGGCCACGTGCCAGATAATGTCACGAACGAGGTTCGGCTAGCACTTGTTCTGCGAGCCTACAGCCTAGCTTTTCATCTGTGAGTTCTGTGAAGATTGGGCGGGTAAAGCCTGGCAACCGCTCCATGATGAGCCGAAGCTTCAAGGCTCGCAAAGGCTTCATGCAATTACCATAGCCATCACTTCGATTAACGAGCTTCGGCAGGTTCCTGACTTGAGGGCATTCGACTGACGGTCTCTGAGAGCATGTTGCTTCCTGTGCCCACGTTTCCCGGATTCACCTCGTCTCACGACCCGGCCCTATCTCCGAAGGAGGGAGGAGCTAAAACAGCGGGAACTGCGCAGTGAAGAACACCTTGCACCTTTGGCCTGAATCTTGCTGCAATGCTCGAGGGCAAGCAAAACACATCATCCACTCTTGCTCACCGCCTCGGCCCCCGGTCTTCAGCTCTGCGGGATCTGTGGGGCGAGGGCTGTGAGTCGGCGACCTAGAAATTCAAGTTCTGGGTGCCGTGAGATGGACTGCTAAAGCTTCAATCAACTGTGAAGTGTGTCCAAGCCGGGGAGCACTCCAAAATGGTGCTCACCGGCTACTTCTTCGGCTGACGGGTGTGATTCGTGCGTGCGTGCGTGCGTGCG